CTGGGTTCTTCAGTACATCCTGTACACGGAGGACAGAGTTCACAGGTGGGCCCTGTACAAGGGTTCTCTGAGGGAAGCGTTTTCTCTAGCGAAGCATTTCCTAAAGCAAGGGGAAGGACTGGGCTCAATTTTTGAAATAATATCATCCCTTTTGTTTTATTCTGTAATGTTTGGTAAAATAAAAACTGTGTCTCAAATGTCCCTCTTCGGTAGTACCTTTAGGGGAGGGCTGGCTCCTGGCTGCCTTGCCCTGCCCTTCCCTGCAGGTCTTTCGCCTGCCAGCCACCAGCAAAGGGAAATCATGAGGGAAATGACTAGGCCCACGCAGAGCGCACCCGGCAGTTCACCTCGTCACTCCACCCTTCATTTGCAGCTGACCCATTTCCCTGGGGCATGAGGAACATTGTTTTCCTCTGTCACAAGGGCAGTCCACCCATGTGAAAGAGAAATAGGAGAAAGGAATGCATGTGTGTACGTGTGTGTGTGCACGTGTGTTTAAAGAAAGGCAAACCATAATTTGGATCATTAAGTTTTGTTCCAACACAGAAGCAGTGCACTGAATTGATTTGCCTCTCAATGACTTTTTAGACTCCTTTTAGGATTCTAGACCTCGTGAAAAGGATTTTTGGTGATATACAATGGCTTTGAGGTATCTATTCAAATCAAACTTCTGAAAAAAAAGTTTTGGAATAGATAATCTTTCAAGTGTACTTTCTTTTTTTATTTTATTTTGGTATCATTAATCTACAATTACATGAGCAACCTTATGTTTACTAGATGCCCCCCATCATCAAGTCCCCACCACATTCCCCATTACAGTCACTGTCCATCAGTGTAGTAAGATGCTGTAGAATCATTACTTGTCTTCTCAGTGTTGTACAGCCCTCCCCGTGCCCCTTACCCCCTACATTATGTCTGCTAATCGTAATGCCCCTTTTCCCCCCTTATCCCTCCCTTCCCACCTGTCCTCCCCAGTCCCTTTCCCTTTGGTAACTGTTAGTCCATTCTTGGGTTCTGTGAGTCTGCTGCTGTTTTGTTCCTTCAGTTTTTTTTCTTTGTTCTTATACTCCACTTTTCTTTTGTAAATCAAACGTTGAAAATACTATGGGATTGTGGGTTTAGGGATAGTTCCGCAGTTCTAGGAAAGGCCCATTGATAACAATGAGAAACAGTCTATATATTTACTAGACAGCTTCTACCACTGGATCCTTAAGGCGTGCTTTCCCTATGAGGTCACTGATGTGTTAGTTCCGAATTTAAAGGAGTTCTGACATGTCTTTGGCAAAGCTTCCAGATGCTATGGATTGGTGCCACTCAGAGTTCTTTCCTTAGGGCTGTACATCAGGTTGTAGCCTGAATAGAGGACATTAAAAGGTCTAACTTTCTGATATAAGGTAAGAGGGAAATGAGGTTACTGAAACAGTCATATTTGTATGGTGGCCATCTTTTAAGGAAAATTCTTCTCAATATTTAAAAACTATCCTTAAATTATCAAATGTGGTTTTGCCCTCTGGCAGACAAAAGAACAGTGTTTTAGAATAACTCAAGGGCCCATTTGACTGAAAGCTGCAAACAAATGCGGTCTTGTCATCTCCGGATCCTCCTGAAAACTGTGCAGAGTTCAGAGATGGAACTCCAAGGCAGTGCTCAGGAGGGAAAAGGAATTGCCCACTGTGCCAGCTCGCTTGCCAATGCCACCCCAGGCTGCGAGGCACGGTCAGTCAACTGTTCCCGGATTGTGTCACCCTCTCTGCCTGGCTTTGGATGCTAAAGTCTTCCACTTTTTGCAATGGGCTTCTACATAAAATGGTTGAATAATGAAACTTAGAACCAGCCTAAGAAGAGAGCATGTAATCACATCCGCCTATTTCCTTTGTAACATTATCCGAAGATGCATCAAACATAAGCTAGCTGTTCTGTGCAGCAATTACATTTTTTAAATGGTGCCAATCATTCATGTGCGTTCCTCACAGAATGAAAGGCTGCAGAGGCAATCTAGGAAAGACATGAAGCAACGAATGTGCTTTTTTTCATTTTTCTCATGGTTTAAGATCCATTAAACTGTATGACGACTAAGCAATACACAGGAAGGTATATTATTGAATATATATATATATATATATAATACATATACAAAGAGAGGGAGGGAGAGTACTTAATTTTGTTTCTTTGTATTAGGAACACCTCAAGTCCATTTTCTGAGGAACGCAGATGGGATACAATCTATGATACTGTTTACAAGAATCTTCTATTAGCTCTAGCATTCATTTAGAACTTCCACTTACGTGCCATAAAAAAGAGGGTATCATATGGTTAAAGGTAACCATCTAACCGTCAAATCTTATGGTAAATAACATTAGGCAGCATTTAGCTGACAAGAGGAAATTAGAATGTAAGGATTTTCTAAGTGCCCAGAAGGGCTAAAATGCAATGGATGGCATGGCTGAATAATATAGCTAATATTATCAAGCACCATTTTGTCATTACCCTCATTTACAATTCAACACACCCCTCTTAATAGGAATTAAATGAATCTTTCGGGTAATTGCAGGGTAAGTCCATTGTGTGAAATGAAAAACTACTACCTTGGGTGAATGAATGACACTCTTGCCCTTGTGAAGCAATGAGGGCGTCATTTTCCAGCACTACTGCTGGGTTTATGCAGGTCTTGGGTTACCATTTCACTGATTTTCAGTCAGTTCTGTGAATGATCACTACATGCTTGAAAGATGTTATGCTTTGCTCATTGCCTCTTCAATAAAAATGAAAAAATTACAGTATAGGACATCATGACATAGTGATCAGTACACAGAAAACCATGAGACTTTATCCTTGTAGAAAAATAGGTAGCTACTAGATTTATTTCCCTCCAAAATATGCTTTTCTAGCAAAGGAAAACTGCAAATAACAAGGTTGGTAAATAAAATATATACCAGTGAAGAGAAATGATAGTTGGTGGTAACTTTGCCCACATTATTTTCCTAGAAAAGCTTTGGATTCCACTTTGATTCCAACTGATTTTCTGCACTTGAGGAATAAGACATTTCTGCTTTGGAGCTCAATTTCTTCCTAGACACATCCAAGCTGATATAAAGATATCTAGGTAGATTATAATACAGTGAAATGGAAAATAGCCTACAAATGATTGTCTGAAAATGATTCATGGCTGTAATTTATGTCAAAAAATAATTCTGACAGGATGCTATAGACTAACTCACAAAATTCTAAATAATATCTCTGACCAAAGTCATGTTAAATATCTGATTCACTGGTTCATTAAGGCCAGAATATGCAGGAACATGATTCAGAGTAAGTAAGCAAGAGCCTAAGACTAGCCTTAATAACTTATTTATGTTCTTTGACTTTAAGTAAATTGCCTGTATTGTGCTGATGACACATATTAGCTATAAATTGACAATGTCACAATCAACCTACATCCATTTGTGACATTTAGTAAATTAAATTGATGAGTGCAAATAGCGATGATTTCATTCTGATGAAAAAAATTGGTTTCTTTCTGCAACACTATGATCAGGATTTATTATTACAACCATTGCCTAATAAACTTTACTGAGAAACAAAATCAAATTCTTTTTATTTAGTTATTTTTATTTTTAATTGAAATATACTCGATGTACAATATTATATTGATTTCAGGTGTACAACAGTGACTCAACAATTACATACATTACTAAATACTTGCACAATAAACGTAGCTGTCACCTGTCAACAAAGATAGTATGATATTATTGGCTATAATATATTGACTATTATTTTGTGATGGATGATTTTCTTTTTACTTCAGATGTAGTGGAAATGTGTTCTCATGAAGGTATTCTTTCTTTCCACTATCGTAACCATGATTTTGACCATGATTACTGTTGGCTACTCACCAGACATCATGAAAAGATTCTAACCTGGTCTCTGAGTATGGCATTTTGAAACCTGAAAGTGTTCATATCAACATAGATATCTAAAGAAATAAGGAAAAATTAGCAGCTTCTAGCATCTTAATTTTCATTCTATTCTAGAAATGTAAGACTTCAACTAATCCAAGTGCAACAAATAGAACTGCCATTGAGATTTGATTAAAATAAATAAGCAAACCCAAATAGTTCAGGTTAGTTCTAAGCAGCTGCATTTTTTAGTCCAAAGCTCATAGCTGTGTCCACCTATCTGGTACAATGAGTCATAGGAATCAGCATTATGACATGGAGTGCTAGCATTTCCTTAGTCATAAACAAGATGAAATCATATCTCTTATATACACTAACCACCAATGTAAGAATATGAAGAGGATATTCTAAATCCTTTTAGAAAATAAAACTGAAATAAACTCCTTTTATTCAATATTTATTTTTATTTTTAATTAATGATAAATAATATTATATTGGTTTCAGCTGTACAACATAGTGATTCAACAAATACATTACTAAATGTTCACATGATAAACGTAGTTGTCCGTCAACAAAGATATTATAATTTTATTGACTATATTTCCTATGCTGTACTTTCATCCCCGTGACTAATTTATTTTATAACTGAATGCTTGTCCCTCTGAATCCCCTTCACCTACTTCACTCACTCCCCCTCCTTCCTCCCCAGTGACAATCACCAGTCTGTTCTCTGTTTTTCTGAGTCTATTTCTGTTTTGTTTGTGCATTTGTTCATTTATTTCTACTTGATTTTGTCAACATTCTAGATAACTGTGGTTTTGATTTAGCACAACACCTGGCTATTTTGGGAACTCAATCAATGGTTTTGAGGATGGTGTATATTAGATGAAGACTAAAAATGCATGTGGCATTGTGAATCCCTAGTGCTTCTGCTAACCAAGGATGATGGGTAACAAAGAGAATACCAAGGAACAGCTGCCTCAAGGTCATAAAGTCAGTGTGATGTGTTTAACACTGACCTGCACTTAATACCACTGCGATCTTTGCCACACCGGAATGACGGGCAGGGGGTCTTGGAATCTAATTTGCAAAGGCTGGAACATGTGTTTAAATGCAAACTTGCATCTCAAAGGAATTCATAGTGAATGCCAACTGACTTCGTTTTTTGTGTAAGAAGATCCGAATCCTTCTTCCTCAGGAGTCTGGGAATGTATTACCTACAACAATTAAGACAAGGTTAAGAGAGGTGTTAGAAAACAGATATTCCCTCCTTGCATCTAGCATATCATAGCCAAGGAAGTGATGAGCAACGGTGAAGAAAGATTAGGATTGTGGGACTCTCAGATTCTCAGGACACAATTTTACAAGCAAATGTGTGTTTCAGAAGGTAGCAATATGGGCTAGAACCTATCTAGTCCTATGAAGAACAAGGTAAAATCCCCCAAACTTGGGTGTCTATAAAAACTCTTCCCCGTTATTTAATTTTTTTTCACACTTTACCCTTGAATAAGACTCTCTTAGCAAGTCAAAGGGGGTAAATGTTGTGAGGGACTTGCAGAAATGTCATTCAGAACTCAGGATGGGTCTTGAAGAGTGGTGTGTTGGGTCGCTGTAGGAAAGATAAATAACTACACCTCTGCAGGCACAAGCAATATGTAGTGGTGGCAGCAGGCCCATTGGAGTTCAGTACCAGGAAATTACCTTTTCCCTAGACTTTAGAGTAAATCTCTCCTAGGGGCTAGGAAAGTGGTGGAGTGGTAGAAAAGAGGTCTCAGAGTAACCAAAACAAAATCTCTTGGGTCTCATTAAAATAAAAGAAGTTTTTGCAGATGTAAAGAAATGAGAGGAGCTGAGCCTCCCTGGCTAATGAGTGGGGGACAAAAGGACTGGGGAATTTGCAATCTAGATCAGCAACTGCTTTCTTGGGAGGGGCGCTCTGGGAAGCATTGCATTTCTCTGCTCCTCTGGCATCTTACCTTTAAAGCAAGCTACTCAAACTTACCTCATGGGGCAGCTGTGAGGAAACATAATAAAAGCAAATCTACAAAATTTATATAAACGTGAAAGAGCAGCAAGGCCTGGAGGATTGTATTATGTGAGTTCTACCTGATTCAATAAAAGGCTTTCATTTGCTTTGACGTGCATTTGATTCCTTTTATATCCATAAACCAAATGATGCTGAGCTTGTATTACTCATCTAAAAGAGTTTGCAAACCTTGTGAAATTGGGCCACATTAGAAACAAATTAAAGATTTACAACACAAGATAGTCTTTCTGATGGAATGGTGCCAGAGAGAGACACAATGAAACATTGAGACAGCTTTGAGTTTTTTTCTCCAGCAATTCCTTGGCTCTTGGGAGTTCCAAAACTGATGTTAAAACTCAGCAGTATTTCTTTTCTTTTTGTTTTATATTCTTACCCATATCAAGGTACCATCTTGCTGAGCATATGCTTAGAAAAAAGAAAGGCATCTAGTGTCATCCATCGTTCTGAGATATGTTATTTATCTAAATGAAAGTAGATTTAACTTAGAAACTATAATGTTCCCTAGAATACATGCATATTAGTTTCTAATTGCTTTCTAATTAGTTTTTTGTAGACTAATTGTAGTCTAATGAGTTTCTAGTTTTGACAATAAAGTCACCGTGAAGGAGTTGAGTATGTTAAGGCCAAGCGACAGATTTGTCTCTGTCCTGAGATCTCTGACAAACGGGAACATAAAAGACTTCAGCCGGGTAGCAGTGTTTTCATTTTTAAATAAGACAACGAGAGCAGTTCTTGGCAATTTTGTTATTAGTTCAGTGATGGAGGTTCAGCGTGGCTGTTAAAGTGGGCACTTTCTTAGCCTTCCTCCTTCAGTTCTTGAAAGTCCTTGATTTCTCCAAGATACCCCTTCTGCACGCAGAATGGGTGGAGTTTTGCAAATCTGACTCTGATTGTGTGAGGGTGAGGTTCCCGCTAAGTAAAAGCCAAAGTCAACTGCCTTAATGCTTATTAGAACAGGTTCATTTCAATATAATTCTGAGAAAAGAGGAAGGGGCCCATTCTGACTCAGGCTGAATATTTCAACTTGAACTTGGAAGTTGCTCAGAAGCAACTTTCTGGTCTGGAGGGAAAAAAATGGCTGAAAGAAAAGTGAATAGGCTATATATTAATGAATACATTTATGAGTGCCATGTACAAAAGAGAAAGAATAGAGGCATCCCTGGTTTAATTTCTGGGATAGACAAAAGGATAGCAGCCCACTTACAGGGGTTCTGACAGGTGGCACTTGTTCTTGTGTGGTAGGAAGAACAGTTATAATCCAGGTCCCAGCTCAGATATCAGACAAGTTGGATGACTCTGGGCAAACTCCCTTGGTTTAAACTAAATTGTCCATAATTACTCTGGCCAAACTGATGGTGATAAAAACATACATGGGGATAGAAACCTAATTCAGCCCTCCAGTTACTTACATCCAAGTAATGAGATTCACTTATTTAATAAACACCACTGAATATCTAATGTACTGGCCTTGGGGCTCTCAAAGGAAATAAAAGGTACAACTGTGGTGTCCCTGTCTTCTTTCACAGATATAAGTTTATCCACTGTTGGGCAGGATGTTAGGGATTTAGATATGGGTAAGGCCGTCACTGACTTCAGGAAGCTCTTGCTGTTGAATTGGATGATGGAAAAGAAAACAGTTCACAATGTTCCATTTCAAGCACAGTGACACAGATGAGCCCTGGGGGGTATGACCATGCAACAGCATGAGAGGCAGGCTTCTCACTGAGGCCGGTGGTGTGCAAGATTGCTCTCGGGGTAGCAACACAGATGAGCCCCGGGGGGTATGACCATGCAACAGCATGAGAGGCAAGATTGCTCTCAGGGTAGCAGACACTGCGGCTGAGACTTGAACGTTAAGTGAGCTGTTTTCACAAATATTTTACTAAGTATCTTCTCAGTACATGCCTCTGAGTCATTCACTGGATTGCACTGCTGCTCGGTGCTCCAGCCTATGAATATATCACAATTTGTTTATTCCGTTGAAGGACATTTGGGGTATTTCTAGTTTGGGTTGCTTGGTCTGCTTCTAGGTTGAGACTATCATGAATAAAGCAGCTGGGAACACTCTTGAACATGTCTTTCTGTGGGCATACATTTCCATTTCTAAGGGTGGACTTGCCTGTGGAACACACATCTGCCAAACTTTGCCAACTACCTCACGTTCATTTGCAATGTATGGGAGCCCCAATTATTTCACATTTTCTCCCACAGTTGTTCTATGTCTTTTTAAAATTGTAGTCATTCTAGTCGGTGTGAAATGCTATTTTGGTTTCGTTAACATCTCATAGGCACCTGGGTACTGTTCATTTCGTTCAATATCTTTCCTTTTCTGACTGGATAATTTCTATGGCTCTGTCTTCATAGACCCTTTCTTCTGAGGGTAAAATCTGTTTTGAAGAGCATCTAGCAGATTTTTCATTTCAATATCACATGTTTCAGTTTTGGCATTCTGTTTCGAGCAATATTTATTTCTTTGCTGGTATTCCTCATATGTTGGCTTATTATACTTTAAAGTCTTGAACATATTTATATTGCCTTGTTTAAAAGTCCGTACTTCCTAATCCCAACATCTGAGCAATCTCTGGGTCTGTCTTGTTGGTCTTGTTTCTTGTTCCTTTTTTTTTTTTGCCACATTTTCTTTCTCTTTCTCATGTATAATAATTAACACATTCTGCACTCAACATTGACCTTGTGGGTAATACATTGTAGGAAATCGAGTTTACAGTATCTTTCATTAAAGGAGTTACATTTTGTCTGGCATACAATTAAATTACTTGGAATCTTCTCTGTCCTTTCAAATGTAGTCTGGCTGTTTGTCAGGCTTATCTCGTCCGGGTTTGTCTTCAGTCCCAGGATATGACCCTTATCTGGATGTGGTCTTTGCTCATAAGATATGATGCCTTGGGTGTCTGAACTAAATGCTCAGGATCCTCAGTGATGTCTGCCACTCTAACTGGGCCACTTCTGTCTTCCAGCATTGTGTAACTGTAACCTCTGCCTCCTATTTTGTTTTCAGCCCTGAAACAATCATCCTTTTACAGTTCTCACAGAATTTTCCCCTCTGAATGCACAGCCTAGCCCTCTGCCAAGGATTCACCAAAAACACATGCAATTTCTTAGGATCCCTGCTCTCCTCTGATCCCTCATTTCTGGAACCTGTTCTGAGAGTTTTAGATGCTTCAGTGTCCTGAACACTCATCTTAGCCTCCTTCTTAGCAAAATCATTGTTCTCTGTTTGGGCTCTATCTTCCTGCATGGTAGCCGCCAATCGCCAACATGGCCCCAGTGGGAAGCTAGGACAGACATGGGACTCATCTCACATTTCCTTATGTCAAGAATTGTCTGGTGTTCAATGGTTACAGATTTCATATATATTTTTCCAGTTTATAGTATGCCAGAGAACAAATTTGGTAGCAGTAACTCTCGTCACAGCTGGAAGAGAAAGGCTCACTGTTTATTTAATTTATATCCTTAATGCCTAGCTTGCAGTCCTTCAGTGTAAGATGGATGGATGCGTGTATGAGCCGATGCATGAACAGTTGAATTAATGGAGTCATGAGTGGAAAAGACTTGTTAGGTTTTTCCCCAACATTATTTTGCCTCCGTAGCACTTTCACAATCTAACATGATATATTTTACTCTTTCTTGCTTTGTTTTCTTTTTGCATCACACCCACTAGAATTTAAGTGTCTCAAGGACATGATGTTTATTTCCTTTGTTCACTCATTTATTCCTAGTTCTAGAATAGCGACTGGCACATACAAAGTACTCAATAAATATGTACAATCAGAGTTGATTGATAGATTTTTAAGGATGATCTGGTTTACTTTTACAGAAACATGCTGAATAATGAAGTAAAGTTGAGCAGGTATAAAATCTGTGAATAGATAGTCAACACTTTTTTAAGAGTCATTTTTTATTATCCTATCATTTTGACTAACAACCAGAATGTTCATTCCAGTTCTACCAACCCTTTTTCTGTCTCTTATTACATACACCAAATATCCTTCTGCCCTAGAAACTTTGGTGTTCCATTGGCTTGGAACCATCTCCCTGCTCTTTGCATGAATGACAGCTCCTTACATCATTCAGAACAGAATTCAAATATTGCCATTTCAGAGAAGTCTTCCCAGATCTAGAAGAGAACCACCCCCACTCCCAGTTTCTCTCTATCACAACACCATGCTTGATTTTCTTAAAAGAACCTATCCCTGTCAATCATACTATCCAATTTGTACATATTTATAGTTCTGTCTGTCTTCCCAGGTGATAGACTCTGTAAGAGCTGGACTCTCATGGGACCTATTCTAATACCCAGAACCTACCATCCTAGGCTCTCAAGAAGGTTTTCTGATTGTAGGTTTCCAAGATGGCCCCCATGATCTCCACCCCTTGGAGTTACTACTATGATTATGTCATGCAACACAGCAAACGGATTTTGCAGGTGTAATTACGGTTACTAGTCATTTGGGTTAAAGAAAGGAGACATGTAATCAAATGAATCACTTCGCACCTTCAAAGAAGAGAGTTCTCTCTGGTTAGCAATTGAAGAGAAAGCCAGCGATTCCAAGTGCAAGAAGGATTTGCTGAGCCGTTGCTGGCTTTGAAGACGGAGGGCACCCCTTGCAAAGACCGGGGAGCTGCGAGGAATTGAATTGAATTGAATTCTTCCAATAACCACATAAACTTAGAAACAGATGTTTCTCCATGGCCTCCAGTTAATTCCGCCTGGCTGACACTTTGATTTGGCCTTGTGAGAACCCAGTCGAGCCTGTCAAGACTTTTAACCTGCAAAACAGCGAGGTAAGGAATGGCCACTTCTTTAGGCTGTTAAATTTGCGGTGATTTGTTATGAACAATAAAAAACTAATAAGCATTCAATAAGTATAGGTTCTTTCCCTCAACACCATTATCATGCTACCTCAAATAATTTTTTAGAAGTCCTTATATTTTTCCAAAACAGGACAATATTTAGGTAGTCCCCTAATTCCCTTGTCCATTTTATGGTCACTACTTGTCCATTTTATGGTCCATTTTCCACCTGCTACCCTCTCACTGTTAGGGTTTCAAGGCTCTGATCTGATGGATTTCAATAGTATCAACCGTGAACCTCATGGGGATGATTCTTTTTGGATAGCCCCATGTTAGCCAAATTCTAGCTCTTCATTTCATCAGACTGTTAAGCATTTTCTTCCCCATCTTCATGGTATTTTAAAATTAGCTTTCTGAAGCCAAATCCTACTTCCGCCCTCCCTGGGGAGTTAGGAAGGAGAGGCCCTGAGCGCAGCAGCACCCACTGACATGCTGGTGGGTGTTAACTGTCCTACTGGGGCTCCACACTTGGATTTGGAGACAACCTGTCTTCCCTCTCAGCCCTCACATCCACCCCATTAACAGCTACAGTCAGCTTTTGGCTTATAACATCTTCCCATCTGTCCCTTCTTCCTATGCTCATGCCTAGATAAAGTCTCCTAAATATTCTCAATGCCTCTAAACTCTCTCTTCCCCTATCCATTCTGCACCATTACATTGTCTAAGACAATTCTTTCTTCCTATTCAAAAACCTTAAACGACTCCCTATTGCTTGTAAGAGATAATAAACATTCTTTAGCTTATGAGCCAAAGCTCAAAGTAATCTGGTTCCAACATATTATGCAACCTCATTTCTCAAGCACGTCTCTATTTATCGTGCACAGTGACCTAATAGAATATTCTCTGTGCATGCCATCCTGTTCCTGAGCCCTTCACCATGACATAATGGCCCTCCACACCACGCCTCCTCTCAATTTCCTGCAGCACTGACACCTTTCTGAAAACCTGTCATCAACTCAAGCGCCTCTTCATTCTTTAAGTGATCTGATATCACTCCTCCGCTATGTACTATATAAGCACCGGGTATACACTGGTAGCTTACTTACAAGAAGAGAAGCAAACCTGATGAGCACCTACTATGTGCCGGACAGTGTGTGCTGGGCACCATCATCTCATTTAATCTTTACAATAACCTCATAATGCTGTTGTACCGACCCAAGCTCACACAACGAGGTGATGGAGGCGGGCGTCAACCCCAGGTGACCTACATTTAAAAATAAAAGCAAAACAAAAACCCAGCAGTGGAGTAAAGTAAGCCAAGAAGACAAGGATTCCCTGCCTGTAGTTCCATTTTAAACTCCTCCGATGGCACTGATAAGATCAGGTCGTATTGCACTTGTTAATACAAGTCTCCTATTTCCACATCTGCATCCACGTTCCTTTAGGATTTCTTCTTCTTCCTCCTGCGCCAAAGCCCCTTTTCCTGGTTCACCTTTACTGATCATTCAGGTCTCGAATGAAACATCCTTTCCTCAAGAAACCTTTCCTCATCGGCCCTCTCTCTCCACCCAGGTGAAGTGCCCTAGTTACATCTCTCACTGTACATTGTACTTTTTCTGGGTAACATTGTTGCAATTTAATTAAAGAATATTCTTGTAGTTACATATTTTATTAAGTCACAATATCCAGGTAATTACTTCTTTAATCCCTAAAGCATGAATGAATTTAAGAGTGGATACCACATCTCTTTCCTTCACAAGTATATTTTCAGGACCTCCCACAGTAGCTGGCTAGTGGTCAGCACAATTTAAATATTTGCTGAGAGAATAAACAGTTTCCCAAGTGCCTAGGACAGTGGCTATATCACAAACCTTTCTGTGCCCTGCCCACACTATCACAGAAAACATTCTCTTTTTGGTGAATTGACAGAAGGATGGATAGACAGATGAAAAATTCTCAAAAGTCCCCTAGTCTGAATTTCTGAGAATGTTCCAGCCTTCCAAGAATGATAAATACATGGAAGACAGAGCAGAAAGTTTTATTATCTAATATTCTTTTGTTGCTGAGTACTTAAACCACCAGCATCCTACCTGTCCCTACAGATTTCACTGCAGACATTCTCTCCCTTCCTACTTTACTTCTTCTAATTCTGGCAAAAAATGTGTCTTTAATATGCTTGGCATAGCTGCCTCTGCAGAGTTAGAAAATGTTAAATGCAATACAACATAAATAATACAAATAATGAATACTACTATGTTAACATAAAGCTGATTCATTTGAGGACTAGCAGCCTCAAATTTTGTTTCAAAGAAATTAAACACTTGGAGATATTATAGATACACACAGTTAAACATTCATTGGTCTGAATAGTACAAGCCATGCAAAATTTGTTTTCTGCCATAGGTATTTTCATCTGAGGTTAAACACCAACCACACTGAAAGGCCTCTTTGTTTGGGTGCAGTGTCATGCTGTTGGCATGGTACCTAGATGTCAAGATGCTATCTCTGGCATCGTGGATTTAAACAGCACCACACTTCACAGCAGCTTAATTGTGCTGTTGTTTTAAAGACAGATTTGTGCCAAAGATCTGGTGCTCTGCAGAGGGTGCCAGATGGTACCCTGGAAAGCCTCTTCTGAGAAATAGGTGGGTGTTCCAGCTCACCATCCTGCCCAAAGGTGAAGCCTTGGGCTCTGTCCTCTCCAGAGAGGAGTTCTCAGTGGAGAAGCACTTTTCTGAGCATGGAAAATATTTTTCTTCCATCGGTGCCAAGTGCATAGTAAGCACTCAAAGATATGACTCATTGATCTTTGAAGTTAAAAAATCAGTATCTCCTGCCCAGTCTCACTCTGAGCATCAGCTTCCAACTGCCAACTCAGCAGCTCTTCTGGAACCTCTGCTGCTTAAGAGTCAAAGCAGAGTCACTGATTCTTGTTCACTCTCCCAAACCATGTCCTAGGCCAAATCAACTCCCACCCGGTCCTCCGTGGCTCTGCAAATGGCCACTATCTGCCTAATTGCTCAAGATAAAGGCAGCGGGGTTCCCCTGGATTGCTCTTGTTCTGTAACATCCCACTCAAACCCACTAGTGAGTTTTCTTAACTCCACCTCCAAAACACACCTCTAACCCAATCACAAACCCTTCTCTGACTGATTCAACTGTGGCCCAAGCCAACATCCTTTCTTGCCTAACTGGCCTCTCTACTTCTACTCCTGTCCCTTCAAAGTCCAATTTCCATGTAGCAGTCCCGGCATAGGAGAACCCCCTCTGCTACCCCCTTCCCATCACTCTCCACTCCGCAGCCACATGGCCCTTGTCTTTGACCCTCCAACACCCTGAGCCATTCCAGGTTCCAGGTTCACGGGCTTGGCACTTGCTGGTCCTGCTTTTAAAAGGTTTATCTGTCACGTCTATGGGGGACTTTTCCTTTCTTGTCTTTCAGACAACATTTCAAACACATGTACTCAGATTGCCCTGCCTCCATGGCCTTCCATCATATTATTCTGATTTTTTTATTATTTTTCATAGCACTTGATTATATCTAATAGTATTATTTGCTCACTACGTGTATTGTATGTGCTGGATGTCTCTCCACTAGTTTGTAAGCTCCTTGAGCTCAGACAGTGACTTTGCCAGTCACTCTGTGTCCCAAACATTTAGAAGTGTGACTAGCTGGCTGGCTAAAAATGCAAAATGCAAACTCGTCTCAGTGGGATGAAGCATTTCCCTGAGTCCTGATTCTGACATGAAGCTGCCTTTTATACAGAAGTATGTGGCTAGGGTCAGCCCCAGCCAGGATGAAAGAATCAAAGTTCGACTTTCCAGAGGAAGAAAATACAAAACTAAACTAAACAAAACAGAGACAATGTGTCCACAGATAAAAGAAGCCCTTAGGCAGCACTTGGATGCCACCTGAGGTCTGACTTCCAAGGGAATTCTGGGTGCACCTAGGGAAACTGGGGCAACAGGCACCCAGGCAGCTACCTCTCTTTTGCCAGAGCAGCTCTGCTTTTATCTACAGTATTTTTTTTTTAACTGTAATTGGCTTCCGCAAAAGGGGATGTCTGATAAATAGGATTCCTTCACTGGAAAAGAATGTGACTGTTTAATGCATTTAAAAGTTCTCTTCTGAGCCTCCAAAAATAGATATGAGATGAGTTTCTGATAATCCACACTTCTCCCTGCTCTCTGGCCCCACTATTGCTGCCCTAGTCGAGACCCCCTCCCCCTTCCTTTGGGCCTGACAGTGTCTGGGGGCGTCTCCTGCCTCCTTGTGTGTCCCTTCCGACAACCCTTTCTTCACTCTGCTGTGAATGAACATCACTGTTCCATGCCTGACTCTGAGTTGTCCTCCCCCACCCACCCGCTCCCCTGTGGCTCCCCCGGGGGGGGTTTGTCACAAGGACTCATGTTACACTCAGCTCCCTGGCCTGTGACCACCTGCCCCTGGCTCCCTCCTCCCCCAGTGTCTCTGTCACCAGCACACTGCCCAGAACAGTCACACTTGAGTTTTCCCCGGCTGAAATGCTTCCTTCTCATGCGTGGCTGTGTTCTGGCTATTCTCACACCATTTCCACGTGGACTTGCTAGTGGAAATCCCACCCGTGCTCCCTCGGGCTTCCGCACTTGCCACCCCTACCCCACCTTTCCTCAGCCTCAGGGACATCATTTCCCTTGCCCCCTCTGCCCACACGCGTCGTTTGCATGGCTGCTGTGACATTGTGCCAGCCTGTTTTCCTCTCTGGACTGTAGAAACAACCTGTACTCATGGGGGAAGATAGGATTGGGAGCAGAAGAATCCGTGGCCGGTCCCCCTTCAACTCAGACTGCTTCTGTGAGCCGGGACTTACCCTCTCTCAGCCTCAGCCTCTTTAACTATAAAACATATACAGTAAGACCTACCTCTTGAAGTTGGTGTCGGTGTTGATGTACATGAAATTAATTTGGAAGCCATAAATGTGAAGTATTTCTACTCCTCTGTGCAGCCTGAGGCCAAGGACCATTTTCATCCATCTTTGTACCTAACCCCAGCCCCAGTGCATGCCGGCATCTCACAGAGGTCCATTCATTTACTACAGTTCTGAGAAAAAGAGAAAGGACTCATTCTGATTCAGACTTAATACCTCAACTTGAACTTTCAAGATGCTCGGAAGAGCTATTTCTGATCTGGAGGGTGGGGGTGTGGGGGGTGGGGAATGACTGGAAGAAAAGCTATTAGGCTGTTTATTAACTAACAGATTGCTTGGGGGTTTGTCCAGGTGAGCCTCTGATAAGACCACCATTAAGTTAGGACTGTTCTGGGTCTTTCCTGTGTTCTGAGAAGTCTATCCCCCAGGAGTTCTGGGAGCTTCCAGCCCAAAAGCCCTTTGAGAAAGAATTGGAATCAGGCATTTGCACTAAGTCATGTACAAGTTTGTCTGACTGCCAGGGTGTACAGCTAGTCAGGAGGAAAAGGAACCGGGCTTCCTGCAGTGACACTCCATGGAGAAGTCCTGAAGGATCGTCCGGTCTCTGCAGCCAGGCTTGGATGATGCAGGTGGTAGGTGTTTCAGGAGACGCTGTGCTTGGCTTTCTTCTGACCCACCTTCTTTTTCATCCTGTAGTGCTGGGCCACCGTGGCTGGTCACTCAGGTTGTGCACTGAACAAGAACATACATAGGAAGATATCATTCACATAATAAATTTGCACATACTTGGCACATCCTTTTTTGCGTGTGTGCAATTTTCTGCCAAAGAAAATTCAAATGTCTTAACGAATGGGTGGGACTTTTCACTTAGACTAGAGGAGGCTCTGGCAAGGCACCTTTAGATGCGGAGGGCTGTTGAGGGTGGAAAGAATTTTGTCATTAGGATCCCATGAATCCTATTTAGGATATCCCTGCCCAACAGCCGGTCTGAGGCTGTGGAAGGAGTTTCCCTACTGATAATGGTGGGAAAAGTGCCAGAAGCCAGTGGTCCAGAAGTGACTGCCTGAGGTCTGCAAGCAGGAAGCAAAGCCGGGCAAATGTGGGTCTGTAGGGAGTGTGGAAGTTCCCAGGCTGGGGCAGGTGGTCTGCTTGTACTGCCCTCTCATAGGGCTGAAACTCCCACCATCAGAGCACATCAGAACCAGACCATCACTATGTCTTTCTTCCCATCGAACCTGGGAACAACTCTTTAACAGCTATCATTGTGTCTATCCTGCACATCCCCTTAGAACCTAGCGCAAGTCCTGGTGCATCGGATTTATTCACTAAATCAGTTGATTTAGTGGTTGACTGATGCCTAGTCTTAAAAGTTTTATCCAGGTTTCCCATTTTCTCCTCATTCCTTTGTGTTTTCTCCCCAGACTTGGGGGTTTTCCACAAGACGATAACGTTTTCAGCAAACAATATAAACCATCGCTCAGCACACAAGTTAGAAAAGAGCATGGCAGGAACCCTGCGGCCCAAAGAGGAAGTCTTCTTTCCAGCACCGGGTCTCCACCCTCCCTCCATCTCCGAGTCATCAGAAGTCATTTCCTACACCCTAAAATTCAGGACATTGATCAAGTCAGTTAAGAAGCTTTTATTGTAAGCTTGCTGAGTATAAAGGATTGCCTTTTACTCTGGGAAGGGATTCAAAGTCTTCCCCCAAAAATGACATGCTTGTCTAGCTGTCCGCATGCAACCCCTCTGGCACTCTGACCACAGCCCTAATTCAGGTTTATGTGCCAGACACAGAACTTCCGCCTTTCAGATTCAACAAGGTCTTCAGACCACGGCTGTCTTGCATAATATGGAGCTGCTATCAGAGCAGCTAAGGGTGTATTTACAGTGTGTTTGGAGAACGCTGTGCAAAGAATAGGAGGTGTGACTGGCTGGGAGTTGGAGAATTGACTTCCATAAATCTAAGACCCCAAAAAATGCCTTTTTTGTTCAAATGCTGGAAAGAGTTTCTGTCGACCTTTTTGCTTCATTGAGATTTCTTTTAAGTTTTCCTGGTAACCAGAACCAGGTTTCACAATGTGTGTCGCCCCTGGCGCACGCCCGGGGAGGGAGGGCAGCTTGCTATTTCAGTAACCGCCCCCCCCGCCCCCCGCCCCGCGCGCTGCGAACCGGGGGACCTGCCAGCAGGTACCCTGCCAAACCAAACAGGAATCAGTGCGGACAATAGGAAGATTATTTGGTGGAAAATGGATACCCCGCAATGGGGAACCCTGTCAATTATATTTAGTTGCGGCGTCTTCCCCGCCAGACCACAGAGCCAGCCTTCGCTCCAAGCATTCAGAAGACGCCTTTGAGCGGAAAGGTCAGTGGGTGGAGCTGGAACAGGGCGCCTTTTCTCTTAGAACTTCCTGTGTGTCTTGCTGTCTGGCCACGAATCTTTTCGCCGCCGCTGTGCCCTTCATTCACACCAGTGTCAGAGCCCCCGGTGCTCCGGGAGCGGAGAGGGGGCAGAAGCGGGGTGCGCACAGGGGCGGCGAGGGGCTGGGGGCTCGGCCAGCGCGCTCCGTGCGCGGCCCCGGGGCGGGCACTGCTCACCCTCCTCCCTGCTGCTATCTGCACCCTTCCTTCCACCTGCAGGGGAAGAAAACCAAAAACAAAACGAGTGTCAAACACACAAAACACCTGGGTTTTCCATGGAGCACTGCACGGGGTAAGCGCACCGGTCCACTCCCAGCGGCCCGACTGGCCCCTGGATGGATGGTCACTGTTGTAAATCGCAGGCCGAGGGGCCCCCGTCCCTTGCCAGCCGCCTGCCAGGCTGGGCCAGGACCCCTGGTGTGGAGGATGGTTCCAAGCCTGCGCTGGAGGCCACAGCGAGCTCTGTGCTGGGTGCATCCCTCCGTGTGAAGGATTCTTGGCTCCCTGGGTCCTCTTTTTCTAAAATGCAAAATCAACTAAGTTCCCGTTTTAACAATGAAACAGTCCAGAGTACAACAAATAACAAGACCCTCATGTACCCATCACGTGATGTGTAGGTGTTCCTATTACTGGAAACAGATCTTGTTCGTTGTTTTGTTTAAAAGAAATAAAACTTTGAAGATACAGTAAAGCCCTACCTTCCTGCCCCTCTTCCCCAGACAGTACCTCTGAGGTTGGTGTGGATCATTGCAATGTGGCTTCTAGACTTTTACCATGTGGTTTTATTCATATACATATGTGTGCATTTGAACATGTTGCATCTTTTTTAAACTTACATAAATGATATATTTTATATTTTTCAAATTTTTTATGCTCAACCCAATGTTTTTGAAATGTATCAATATGAATAT